AAAAAGCTTCACAGCAAGTGTCTGTCTGCGACCGCGATCTCACCTAGAGGAAGCCAGGACTACGTGTCAGAGCAGGGAAGATGGCCGCGGGTCATGTTCATCACCTGATGCGGAGTTCACGAACAGAAGCAAAATTTTGCGAACGCTGCTGTTCACGAACCGAATTGTTCATGAACAGAAGCGTTTGTGAACCAAGGTATTACTGTATATCCACTCAAAACATTTATTATAACAAAAATATAAAAACAAAATCCTATCCTGAGCTGGATTATATTTAAAATCATTCAATCATTCAAAATCAGGCAGAACAAAGCATCTTAAAATGCCAGGGATTAAATCTGAGACCATTCAGATTTGCAAGGTACGTTATTAAGTAATAATGTAGCATTTCTTATCACAGTTTGTAATGAAAAACTTGGTGAGTGCTAAAAAAGCACTCTGCTATAAAAAGTAGTAATACTCAACTGGTTTTAAGAGATAGAGTTGCATCTCATGGATCTGATTTCACAATTTCTGTATTGGTAAACCATTTTCAATGAAAAGATCTTTTGTTTCTTCTATGATTGAGCATGGAAGTAACTACTAAGCAATAAACTAATATTACATGAAAGGCTTTGTAGTTCCCAGCCACGTAAAATAATCAATTGAAGAGTACAACTTGAGATAGCATTGTTCTAGAAAATATAAATGATATAATGCAGGGAGGGGCAATTAAGTCTATCAACGTTGTTAGTAACATTAATTTTTCTTTTCAAACATTGCTTTCAGTGCTGACATTAAATATAAAAGATTGACTCATCTCTCGGTTCATACATGCACATGTATTAATATGCTACTATGATAACTATATATGAAATAATATATTTGAATTCTCATACACTTTCAAGAAGATAGGGCTAGGAGTATATAGTCCATTTTAAAAAATGGAGAAATCAATCCATTACAGTTTAATCTTTTCCCTTTTAGGGGAAAAGTAGTAGGAATTTCAAATTGGTCTGCACAGCAGTAATTCTCAGACTTGGTGCTGGCATGAAAAGCTTTATAAAATATGTTTTTTGCTAACAAAATAGGCAATGCTCTATGTTGCATTTTATTGGCTGGGTTTATACTTTTTTATTCCTTTTTTAAAAAGTGCATCTTTTGCATGTAAACATCCAAGAAGGATGCATAAAGCAAACTTTGTGTTTATTCACAATTCAGATTCATACCTGTTTGATTAGATTTTTTTAAATTATTTTTTTTATTAAAAAGCCACTGATTTCCTGCCCACAGATCCTCCTGCCTCCTCCAAGAATTCAGGAGGTAGACTGCTAGAAATAATATAAGAATTAACCATTTGTTGAGCCTAATCACACTGTGATGAAGGGAACTCTTTGCTTTATGTTTTATTTTGTCCCTTCTCAGAATCCCTCTGTGGCACTCAAATAAGGTACCATGCTCCAGGCTCACTTGCAAGCCTTTCCTTCTCCCTGTCACTTTGCTGCCCTTTGAAATCCCTCCTACCAGTAAGACTTATAAACAACTTTGGCTACATCAATTGTTTGGGGGGAGACATTGCACTCACCTAAAGGGCCATCATAGAAACAGTCAGAAAGATCAAAAGGGTATTGAGCAAAAACAGCACTAGCAGCATGAGCTGATGATATAGCTATTACTGTATCCATACATGTCCACATTTCTTTGCTTCCAGAAGCAGATGTTTCAAGAAAGGAGTGGGCGCATGCTGCAAGCCTTATCTCCAAGGCAAAGCCCCACAAGCAGTCCAACACGGGGACGTTCCCCATCACGCTCCCCATCTCCTCCTTCCCCTTGGCTCTTCAGAAAGGCTTCACCCACTTCCTCTCCAAAAGCTGCCTCAGCATCCATTAGCAGCATGAGTGAAGGAGATGAGGATGAGAAGTAAACAAGGGGAAATTTGTAGTAGAAGAAGGAAGAAATATACCAGTGGCTCACCAGTTCAAAATAGAAAAAGGAAATGATGCATGAGATGATTCTGAAAAGGAAAGAACACCACTGAAATAACTGGAGCACTGACGGTCTCAGCTATAAAGTAGTACTTGCCAAAGGACAGCCTGTCAGAAAAGCTGCATATGATGACAGGATATATAACAACTTGCCATTATTTCCCAACATTTATGAATACTTTCTTGGGCTGTTGCAGTTTTTGCTGCTTAAGCTATTGGATTGTTGTGACGATTGTTCACCGAAAGGAAACTTCCATCTTTTCAGAAAGGCTAATTTGGCAAACAGTTTTAAGAAGGATTCCCTTTGGTTAGAGAGGAGACATCTAAATTTGAATTGCACTCTACTGAAAAGTTGGATCTCACAAGAATGAAATGAAGTACTGCCTAGAAGCAGCAGAAGCTCCTACGGTGCCCGGAAAAAAACCAAACAAATAAAATCATGCCATTAGAATTAAGCTCTATCTTTCACAATGGACACACCATACTTCTACTGAATTTGCTTAATACTGCTTATTGAGCAGGCTTTTGTACATGCCAGAGAAAGTTATTTAATGTGAACAAAATTTGGTGGGTTCAGTTTTATTATTATTTGTCCTCCAAAGCTACTTTTTTTTTCTTTTTAGAATGATTGCCCGGGCTTTCCTAAATAAGCTGTTCATTCAATATGATTTTATATCCAGTAAATTTGGTAATTTAACCCACAGAGCAAGGTCCAAGTCATTCTCTATGTAATGTTTTATATATCACACACTATATCCTTTAAAACAATTTTTGCATGTAACATATTTTTACAAAGAGAAGAGCCCAAGTGGTTAATTCATACCATTTGTTGTGAGCCACCCAGAGTCACCCGTTGGGGGAGATGGGCATCATACAAGTCTGAAAATAAATAAAAAATAAATAAATTTGTTCAGACAACAAATTTGGAAGCAATCATGGGGTTGCATGAGTGCTGACCCATTTTGGTAAAATGTTTGGTGATGTGCATGTAATTCCATGAGAATCCATGTGTAATTCTATAGAAGCAAAGCATTATATTACAACTGGCTTTTTATTGCCAAAACAATATATTGGATTTTAGTTGATTTCTCAGCAATTACATGTGCAGTCATCTTTTCTGCGTATGGATCTAATAAAACTTTTCTTTTTTGTTACTATATGCTATATAATATGCTCTAGAACAGCCTTTCCCAACTTGGTGCCTTTCAGATGTGTTGGACAAATTCCCATAACCCTTAACATATCTGAGGGAAGCTTGGGGAAAACTTGTCTAGAAACACATCACTAAACATTGTAAGTAATCTTAGATCCTTTTTTAGTAGCATCTGTCACTGGCATCACATCTACTGTTAATATTCAAAAGCAGACATGAGAAATCTATCTTGCAAAATAATATGTAGAAAATGATTGGAACTTGAATATTTCCTATTCAGATTATTATTATTATTATTATTATTATTATTATTAATATATTATCAAAAAGGCTAAGGTATCCCAGGAAAGTGGATCTCTTTGATTGCCCTGTTGTATTTTACAATATCTTCTTTAAACACTGGTCACTACTCATCAACTAATAGCTGAAATGTCCCCCATCAGCCTTTCCATTTTTTTTCATGACAGTTGAGTTTACCAAGTGAATGAAATAATTTGTGGTTTTATAGTAGGCCTGCCTAATTTATACTGATGAAGCTTAATAACCCCCACTACTTGTAAGTATTAAAGTGCCCTTCAAATCAAGCTGATTCCCATGCCTGCATGGACACATCCATTTACTTTTCCTTTTGGCAACAGTACAAAGGTGGATTGTCCTCACCTCCTTCTAGAATGTTTCTTTGAGTTCCCAGTCTAGTCTAGAGCTCTATATTCCCTGGAGGGCTCTCACTGAAATATTAACCTTCCAAGCTAAGATTGGTTAAGTGCTGTCACTTGGTGAGATAGTCATGCATAGTGCCATCATAATCTCTACAAAAGTCTTTATTCTTTATCCCTTGAAACCATGGACACATCTGGCACTGTCAGATGTCAAGCCACTGTATAAGGCTGGCACACTATATTTTTGCCTCTTAATTTATAAATTGGCAGGCCTGCCCTGCAGATTGATCTGTCTCTCAGTAGGTGGCAGCTTCTACCTGATCTTGGAAGAACTTAAAAATGCTAAGTAGGGTCAGATCTGGGTGCTACTTGAATGGAGGGCCACCAGGAAATATGGGGCTGTAGGCTATTTTTGAAGGTTAAAAGAACATCCTAAAAGAAACCAGTGGCAAACTTTTTCTGTATTGCTGCCAAAAGCAAAGTAACATGGGTGTTTCCAAGTAGTTACCAGGAGGTGAGTCCAACTTAAGACAGACTTTAATTTTATACTTCTTGCAGATAGTCTTACATATAATTAGATCCTTTTATCATCTGTCCAATGCTCTGGTTATTTTTGTGTAGAGAGCCTTCTGTTAAAAAATCATAGAAGTCAATTGGAAAATTCAACTTTAAATCAAGAATATATTTTATCTCAGATTGGTCTACCGAACTATTCTAAAGAGCCAGGAAAATTTTTTAAATATTCCAACAGAAAGAAGAGACAATCATATAGCTGGTTACATGAGGTTTGTATTTTAGGAAAATACAAATCAGTTGTGATGACTGAAAATCACTGAGTAACTGTATAGTTTATATCTCTGGACACAGGCAGCAGTATCTTTCCTTTTGGATTTCTCAGCTGCCCTCTGCATAAAAAAGTGGGCCATAAATATTAGCAGCAGAAGAACAATAGCAGCAGCAGCAGCAGCAGCAATTCTCTTTACCTGAGGTATAAGATGTGCCTTTCCTGTACAATATATAATATTATGCAAATCTATTTTGATCAACAGAAGTTTGGCATGCATGACATATAGTTGCAGTTTTATCAGGCTGTAAGCAACTATCCATGCTGGTCTATGTACTGTATAGGGAGCAATCCCAACAGTTTCCCCAGCATTGGAACTAAGATGACAGTTGTTTGAGAAGTTCCTCAAACTTCCAGCCAGCAGGCCAAAGAGAATTGATGGATGCCAGGTTGAAGAGGACTGCTTCAGTAATCTTTTTTTTTTCATTTATTAGCTTACAGTGCCTTATGACTTGTCAGGACTTGCATGTCTGAAGCTGAAGGAGACAAGCTTTTTACAGACAAAGTTTAGTTAACACTTGGGGAAGGCAGGTCTTCAGAACTGGAGATCTAAATTCAGGCTTAGGCAATCAAATGTTGATTTAGTCAGAGCCAGCATGGAATACATGGAACAGTTAACTCCTTGAGAAATATTGAAAAGCTATGGAATTTGATGAAATTAGGATCACAAGGAAAAAAAAATACCATAGGTTAGTTTCATGAGATATTTAAAGCCTCCAAATAGCTATTTAAGGTAGCCATACTTCTCTCTCTTGTCCCAGAAACATAAGGCTGTTTTTTCTTGACCTGTATCTTCTTTAAACAAAGTCAAATTACTTATACAGGTGGTCCTCAACTTACGGCCACAATTGGGCCTGGAACTGTCACTAAGTGAAGTGGTTGTTTAAGTGAGTCATGCCCGATTTTGCAACCTTTTTTGCCACAGTCATTAAGCAAATCATTGCAGTCATTAAGCAAATCACATGGTCATTAAATGAATCTGGCTTCTCCATTGACTTTGCTTGTTGGAAGCCCCCTGGAAAGGTTGCAAATGGTGATCATGTGACCCCGGGATGCTGCAACCGTCATAAAAACATGCTGGTTTCCAAGCACCTGAATTTTAATCACAAGACAGTGGGGATGCTGAACAGTTGTAAGTGCAAAAACCAGTCGTAAGTCTTTTTTCAGCACCATCGTAACTTCAGTCATTAAATGAATGGTCGTAAGTCAAGGACTACCTGTAATAACAAACTTAACTACATAGACATATATTCTACAGTCTCTGTGGAAAATATCTGTACTTGATGAAAAGGTTCGATTAAATCTTTCTTAGCGCTCAGGCAGTGAAAGATGCACTAATCTCACGCTATGAAGCATTATTGTTTGCATATTTCATAATTGTGTATTTTAACATGATCTTCCAGAATCCTAACTAGACTACTTCATGAGCAATCTGCTTTGATGGGTGAAGAAGGCTTGGCATTTCAGGATAGTTATTTTAGTAGTGATTTTAAGTGAAGCAGTTGGATGAAATGTGAAAATGTGTCTCTATGATACCTACATTTCAGAGATTTTTGGTGCAATTGATCAATTTAATATGATTTGCTCAGCTGGTAGACCAGATTTTCTGTTTCCAAGACAGACTAATCATAAAGAATACATTCTTATGCTGGGTTGCATAGGAAGTGTTTTTAACTTTGTTTTGCTGTTGTTGCATTTTTATATTTTTTAAAATCTGTACTGTGTGTCAAGTTCCAGTGTGCTCATACTCCATGTAAAGTAAATCCAGTACAGTGGGAGGTACATTGAGTTTATTCTTTTTATTTCTTTGTGGCTTTGGTCAGTCCTTGCATTCACATACACAAGAATTAGCTTATGATGTCCAGGGTTGAATACTTTAAAAAAGTACTTTAAAAAATATTTAATGCAAAGTGATTAAGGTAAGAGCAGCATATTTGGTACTTGGTTATGTAACTTTGACTTTTTACTAAATATCAGGACTGCTATTAGATATTACTGGTTAATCAAAATCAATTTATCCAGCCAGTCTTCCTGGTCTTTGTCCACTCTACTTTCTAGGTGACATGGATATTTGGATGAATTTCTCTGAATTAGTACAAGGCTTACTGCACTTCTGCCATTTTTCTTTTTTCTTGTGGTGGAAAAACAGATTGGGCAGAGATTATAGGAAGCTATAATTTGCCAACAGTCATATGGAAGCCAAATCCTCATTTTATCTTCCCATGAATGGATGTTTTAAATTTGGAAAACTGTGTAGCATGCATAGAATACCAAACTAAAGTGTGTGGAATTCATTCTAGTCATGCATTTGAAGTATAAACAAAAGTCAACCTGTGCTTATTTTCAGGAAATAGTAATTCCATGTAACTCCATTGGCCCCTGCACTGATTATTTAATGACAATATAGAGTAACCTCACCCTTTGATTCTGCTCTCTTCTGCCACAAATTACCTTAACCCTTTCCCTTTATCTTTCTACAGTTTGTAACTCTATTTGTAATTCAGCTCAACATCAACATATCAGAATTAAATCAGGAACAAACGTCCAGACCAAATCTTGTGTTCTCTATGGCTATGCTGTGTAAACACAGTCTATAGTTTCCCCTCTAAAACATCCAGAATGGATGCAATCCAAATTTTAATCAAATACAATTTTGTTTTGACTGAACATATGGTAAGCAATGGGGCTTCCAGCATCATTTTTATATGATGTACCACACTGATAGTAACAAAAAGGCATGGAAATACCTGTATTTTCCCATCATCTCCAATTTCTAGTAATAGTTAGGAATATTTCTAAGTATTTGAAGAGTCTTAATTTGTATCTTGGATTGCCCAGTACCATTGGCTATTTTATTCAGCATCACGCATTTTGTCCCAAAGCCATCTTTGCCTTTAAATTATAGGTACTGTTTTCAACCAGGGAGCCTCCAGTAGAATGGAAGAATTTGCTGTTTTTGCTGTCAGCATGTTTTATAAGACCATCAAGGACTATCACAGACATTATTTCTTGCATGCCCAATTTCCAATCAGGTAATGGGCTACAAT